GGGGGGGTAATGAGGGGGTTAGCTCTGTGTAGTAACAGAAACATGATTACTTTAAGGATGTGTAGCAGCTGTCCTGTGTAGGAGTTCCACACTTTGAGGAGATGGTTGTTAACGGCCGTAATGACTGTGTTGTCGTGGCGGTCCCACGCTACCATGGTGACTTTGGGTTTGAAGTAGCTCTCCTCTTCACTCATTGGTTCAACGCTGAGAAAAGAACACAACAAATCAGAAAAAAACAGTCAGTAAGGTACACCTCATTATATATGATCTTATAGAGTTTCATTATATCTGAACACAAACGAGAATACAAATTGTCAGCTTGTATCTAGTGATTTTCCTGAATGATCCCTTTTTTCCTGTTGCTAAAACATCTTTCTCTCTAGTTCTCTCTCTATGTCTTCTTCAGATGAACACAAATACAGAGGACACATCTAAGGGCCGTCTCCACATAGCATGTTTTCTGAGCATCTTTTTTCAATTGATCCTATTGAGAACATGCCGTGACATGCATCCACCTCCAAAAAGAAAATAGTGCAGCGGCCAGCCTCTTGTTTCTGACAGCGTCTGGCGAATGGAAACTGTCATGACAAAGAGCAGATCTGCTGGGCGGACCCTGACGGTTAGTGTTTGACTTTTATCGTCCTCCTCCCTCGCTATACGACTGTCAGACTGAGCAGTGAAGCTCATCCATGCAAAGTTTCAGAGTAAGCATCTTCCGGTTGATTATAATAGCAAAGAAACATGTCACACACACATATAGTAGTCAGTGTAAACAGATGATCAAATCCAAGGGGGAAACGCTGGTCTTTCATAGAACAGCAACGATACATCGAGATATCGGTTTCCAATTTAAAAAAAAGTGTTTTTTGATGAAATACATAGAGCAGGCTCTGCCCAGCGCCTTACTGCCTGAACAAAGACGCTATGTGGACACAGGCCCTAAGGAATCCTCACTGCTGAACATTAAAGAGCTCCTTACCCCGGCAGAGTGGCGGCCATGTTGAGCAGGAGGCTCCTCCACTGCTGCCGCAGGTGGAGCTTCCAGATCCGGGCGGTTCCATCTCGACTCCCACTCACAAACCTGAGACAGGACAACACCACACATCACTCCACTGTGTACACATCTGTAAATCAATGATGAGTAAGCAGTGATTGTACTATACCTTTCCCCTGAGTGGCAAAATTGGATGCTATCAACTTTGTCCTAAAAGAGGAGACATGGACATGGAGAGTGATCATGAGTCATTTGTAATGTAACTGCTGAATGTTTAATATGTTACATTACATTACTTGTTAGACGCTTTTATCCAAAGCCACTAACATACTCAATACTATGGACAATCCCCACAGGAGCAATTTGGGGTGAAGTGTCTCAGGGACACAACGACATGCTGACTGCAGTGGGGTTTGAACCTGTGACCAGCGTTTCCGCCAGGGGGCCGTCTTGCCGTCATTTGACGGCCTTATTCAGCTCGGGACGCCCTGAACGCGAGCCGAGGGCGTCCAAAAAATATTAATAATTCGAGAGAAGATCGAGAGTTTTTATCGCTTGAAATGACGAAAAGGAAAAAGGACAAGGACATCCCTCTGTTGGAGGGGCAAAGGAGACTGGTGGGATTCTTTTCGGAGTATTGAAGATCGTTTCCCCGACATCGAAGGTGCCTGCTACAGGACAACACGGAACGTGCGCGATTTGGACGCGCTGAGCGGGGGGGTTTTAGTGGAGCACGCGCGTGAGCTGCGAGCACCAGAGCCTCGCAGCGGCGAAACTGAGGCTCCGTGGTAAACTGTGGTAACACGAAGAGCCGTTTGGGAGCCGAAAGAGCCGGCGCTTTAAGCGAGCCGAGCCAAATGATCCGGCTCACTAATGTCAAAATACAGTCGGCCTATCTATAAGGGACGGCTCAAGTCTCAAGTCAAAATTCAAAACAACCCCTCCCACCCGCTCTCGGGGTGGACGCCCTCTCTCAGCCCTGGTCTGGCGGAAACACTGCCTGTGACCCCCTGATCCGAACACCTACGTACTAGTCCACTGCGCCACAGCCACCATGTTAAATGGTATCTGTGTGTTGCATCATGCTACACAGAGATTGGCTTTAGAGACGTTTCTCACCGTGTGCTCGTGCAGTTCGGATATCTTATCTGGACTCCCGCCTCCAAGGTAGTATATTCGGATGACATCGTCAGTACTTCCTGTTACTAAAAACATCCCACCTGAAAATATAAAAAGATAAAAAATCAACTTTAATGTCGGTAATAAAGATATGCTCATAATAATATATATAATAATAATTGTATTTATTATTTTTCTGTTAGATTAAAGGCATACGACATACGCCTGTTTATTATATTTTATGTAAAATATGAATTCTTCTTCTGAACGAAAAGCATCTGGGGCAGATCAGGTAAATGAATACAAGTTTGAAATGCCGTATCACATGAAGAGAACACATTCAGACCTTTTCAATACAACAGATACTAACATTTTAAATAACACTCTACTTGAGATGAATATAAATAATTACCCGGGCTGAATGAGGAGCACACCGTCTGGACTCCTGGCCTCGGACGCTCTGTAAACTTGTGTGGCCGATCGCTGTAGGACAGGAGAGAAAATGTTACAGATTTGAAACAGAATAGGATATATTTTACAGCAAAAATGCATTGAATGTAACACAGAAACTAAAATACTAAGTAAAAACACACAATATTTGGCAGAAAAACCATAAAAGATCTCTGAATCCTTTAAGAGACTTTCCGTTAGCAGATGTTCAACATGCAGAACCAGAGCTGACCTTTTCATCTGTGTTTATTTAATGGTCTATTCTTCAAATCTATCAGAGTTTCATCCAACCGGCATTTCAACTGCATGACTGTATATTGTGTGGTAGTCCCAGATACGTAAAGAAGCCAAACACTGCAGTCTCTGAGTTCATCACTTCACCCAGGGACAAACATAGCTAAGACAGAGCTTGATTCAGACAGCAAGTCACAAGTCAGCTGAATTGATCTGATTTATCACAGTCGTATGGACCCAAAATAAAAAACACATTTTGCAGTGATTTAAATTGCAATACATGTATCAAAATCATGCCGAAATATCGAATTAGCAGTGGCGAAGCCCCCCCAGCCGCCGCCACCTATAAACCTATACACAGGGTATATGCAGGAATCCTGAAGTCAAATGTAATTCCTTTCAAGACCCTTTCCATACATTTTAGGACCTCATCGCCACTTGGAGTTTTAACCGGTTACATTGGCGACACACTTTACCTCACATTGACTATATACAGTATTGATTGTCCTTCCTCCTTATCTTCGAATCGTTTGGATGCAGACTTGCATTTCCCCATAACGATGTTATTAAACAACCGGCGTAAACGGAGCTATCAAGCAGTGAGCGTGCGATGTCCTGTTCAGATGACGTCAAACCCAACGGGATGCCATAAATAAACTACACAGAATCACACTACACACCTACGCAATGATTACATTCAGGCAGACTGTAGAATACAACCTCTTTGGACAATTGATATACTTATTGAAAACAAGCTACAAAATGTAACACCTTGGAAAATGCTGTTTAATACTTTTTGATAGCCTTCATTTTCGCTAAATTGATTTATCAACTTTTGAAGACCCCGCGGACACGCTGAATACAACACACTACAGGAGAGGGAAAACCGAAACAAGCATAATAAAGCCTCTTGAACATGTTCTGTTTAAAAGCAGCACTCACCTAAAGTTGATGTTGTTGACGTCCCACTGCCAGAAGCAGACGGTAGCATCAGTTCCAGTGGAGAGCATGTAGCGCTTTGAGCCCTTAGCAAACGGTGAGAACTGAAAAACAACAAATCCACAGAACAACATCTCAATCACTCAATTTATATTAAAATCAAGACATGCATTCTTCATGAAGCGTCCTCACAGAATCCTGTGCAAACATTTTTTTACACTTAGCCCGAGGCAAGATGTCATTGCAATAAAGAGATGATGCAATGATGGCTGATGGGGACATCTTTTTTTGTACAAAACAAGTCTTTGCCAGAGCTGCTCCCGCCCCTCCTCCTGATTTCTTTTAAAGCAGTGTCAATGCAGCAAAAGCATATACTGGCCCCCAATGTTTTCTTAAATTATGAAATGTATGAATTAATGTGGAATACTACTGTGAATATTTGTTTTTGTATATTTGTGGATAGAAATAAACGTTGGATTCATGATGGCTAAACTGGACGTCAGAGAAACCAACAGATGACGACGAACAGGAAGTAAACACTAACGCGAACAACAGAAGACAGAGAGGAAGTAAATAATAACGGGAACAATGTATGGGCTCTGGGAGGGTTTGAAGACTGGTTATTGGAAAATAAAATGTACATCACCATGCCAGAGGTGTGTTTACCTGTAGGGAGGTAATGGATCCGCTGTGCCCCTGCAGCACAGCCACGGGGGCACAGGTACGAAGGCACCACACACGGATGGTCTTGTCACAGCTTCCTGCGGCGATGAGCGTGTTCTCATAATTAACCGCCAGGTCTGTGATCTCTGCGGAGTGTCCTCGCAGCGTGGAATGAAGCCTTCCATCGAACGAAGACCAAATCTTCACCAAACAGTCGTCTGAGCCCTGACGAAAAAACATATCAATTTCTTGTTTAATAATCTATTCTAGAATGCATTCAAAGATGGTGGCGACCTACCAATTAAAATCCTCCTATGACTGGAGCAACTTAGATCATAACAACATCATATGCAGGTGCAGTCCCAAATAAGGCATGGCAATATGTCAATTTAAGATTGATATTGTTTTACGAGACTAGATATCATTGTGCTGCCTTTGAGGTGGATCAGTAGTCCATTCGTCGGGTCATTTTTCTTGGCACAGAGTGAGTGACGATGACGATGTGACTCCGTACAAGGATCTTTGTACGGAGTCACTGTGGAGTGGAGACATTGATGAGTGTTGCTGTATTTTATGTGATAGCATGGTTTAAGCTAAACATGTGGTATTTAAGCTAGCAGTATGTTAGCTAGCTCTGTTTGTGAAATGTCACTGTATCTGCAGTAGTAGTACAAATCTTGTGTTTATTTTATAAAGTACAGTTTTCAAGTTTCAAATTTCAAGAAAAGACAAGCCTCGGCTCTTTTTTGGAAAACTTGTGCAGGTGAGCTAGCTGTCTAGCTTTGCCAAGGAATACGCACTGCAAGGGCAGGGTAATCCTCTTACATCTAAATATAATGTCGTAGGTGCCGTCTTATCCAGTGGTAAATGCTGCGGTACAACAAGTGATGTAATTTTCGTAATCCAGCAGATTGTTTCAAATATATATAATTGGCCTATGATTTACTTGTATTGTTAACATTTTGTCAACACTACAATATTGATATTGGGGTATATGCTCAGAGAGATTGGGATGTGCTCCCAGGTGAAATCTTACTGTGAAGATCCTGAGACCGGTGCGATCGAAGGCGATACAGTACACTGCAGACAGATGGCCCAGGATCCGCCGGTGCAGCCGCATGCGCTCATAGTTGCTGACGGGGTTGATGGAGCTGAAGCGCTGCACTCCTGTCAGCTCTCTGCCTCGATGGATCTCCACTGCAGGTGACAAGATGCCAACCATCAAAATACAGTAATACAATTAAATGGCTGCGACAAGGAGAAGCATTAAAAAAAGCCAAGCAGCTCCAAGTAAATGTTCCAATTCCCATTGATCCATTTAATTTAAAGGTCCCATGTCATGGCCATTTCTACTGATCATAATTCCATTGTTGATGTCAACTAGAATATATTTATATTGTGCAATTTTCCAAAATCACATTTCTCATACAGCATCTCTGTATAGTATGTGTATTCACTCTCTGTCCTAAACGGCTTGTTGGAGCTCCTGCCCCCCCCTCCCTATGAGCCCAGTGGCCGTCTGCGAGACAGCAAGACACAGCGAAACCCAGCCCGAAACCAGCCCGAACACACACACACCCACAGCCTGGCTGGGAGTTTGTGTGTGTGCTCATAGCCATTAACGTAACGGCGTACTGGGCACGTCACTGTACCCAGGAAGAAAAAGAGAAATGTCCAACGAGGTGTTTCGGGGCAGCATAGACAGGTATCCTCTGTGTTAGAGTTTTACTCGCTACAGGGTGTACTTTGAGGGTTTGTGACTCTGCAGACCGTTTACATGCATAAAAAGCTACATAACACACAAGGGAACGGGTAATAACCAGAAAAGCATGACATGGGACCTTTAAGAATAATAGAGAAATATTGAGGAAGGTCGGACTTACCGAGGTGTGGAGGTTTTTTGCGGTTGAAAGGCCTCTCTGGTGGTCTGCCCCGGTGAAGGGCTGCATATGATGAAGCTTTGAACCGCACACTGTCGCAGTCTGAGAAACACAAAACAGATCAGAGTGATTCAGTGGATCTACCAGCTGTGTGTGGGAAAGGATATGATCATTTCTGCCATCTGCACAAGCCAAGAAACTATTCATATCTTTATATAATGTCAAAGTACATATTATCAGTGTAAAAGGAAGGCTTGGGAAGACACGGATTACATGTTACATGATTACGTAATCAGGAAAAGGGTAACCGTATGCCGTCCAGATACATGAAAATAATCAGATTACTGTTACATTTCTAAAAATGGTGGATTATTAGCAACATGTTAGTAAAAACCTGAAAGGAGCATATTGCGTTTGTTGTAAAAGGATCAGATCTTATTTCTGCTTTGTGAAACTGTGGTATGTCCTCATGTGTTTCATTGTTGGTGTATAGGCTACTGCCTGAATATGCTGAATGAAAGGCAGATTTTCCTATAAATAAAATCATTTTTTAGCCTAAATATCTTGGTTTCTTATTTTATAAGGTTCTGTTGTCTAACATAATACACTTAGGTAATCAGGTAATATGTTTGTATTGTGATACTCAGATTAGGTTACTGATGACATTTTCTTTTTGTACAGGTAACTAGTAATTGTAACTGAAATCCTTGTTGAAGTAATCCTCCCAACCCTGGTAAGATGCATGTAGAAGCTCAGTAACATCCACAGTATAGTTTCCATTAAGACTGTTTACCTTTTGCCGTCCTGAGCATTGACTGCTTCCCGGACCCCAGGAGGGAGTGAACTCCTGGGACACATGATGGCACATCTTTGTCAAGAATTGGTCCGATCTGCTTGCATATTTGTAGCAAATGGTCTGGTGAAATATGTCTGTTTGCTGCAACCTGTCAGGGCAAACAAAGACAGAATAGCGACGTGAATAATCACTGCTTAAAGAATTGGTCAAATCAACCTCAGTTTAGATAATAGAGTATGAAATGTAAACGCCAGACAACGTTCTTCAATTTAAGGATTTGCTGCTCTCTTGTAAATCAGAAACAGTTAAGTAGGTTTACACAGACAATGAATTTGTGTTAGTGCAAAATGTTGCTTACATAAATACAGTAAGAAAAATGAAGCGGTAAAGAAGGAGCAAAAATAGAACTATTATATAATAAAAAAATAAGGAGAAAATAATTACAGTAAATATATACATTTAAAAAAATGTAAAAGAAATAAAGATATGACAAATTACTCTGAATATTAAATGTCCAGTATGTCAGGGTTTAGAGTTGTGTTGTATTTAGTGTAAAATTAAACATATTTCAATGTTTTCTGATTTAAAAAAAATAATTAATCAAGACATGAAATTCGTTTTAAACTGCCCCTTAATCGGGTTTTAAAGGATATAATGAAAAACAGAGGTATTGTCAAGTAATTGAACGTTTTCCTCATAAAAATAGCAAGCATAAACACATTTTTTGGTGGAGTCTTGGTCTGAGAGTATATATAAAAGCTGAATTATAATGCATTTGTGATAAAGTGTTGTAAATAATATTCCAGGTTGCTCTAAGAACGTTGTCGACTTGAAATGTAGAAATGTCTGACTGACAGCCGTAGTTGGTGGTTTCATGTGCTGCTTCTCCACTCGTATTCTGAGAGGCGGGGCTTATTATGCAGAAACTTCTCCTTTTATGGACCAATCACAGCGCAGGTCACATGCAAAACAACGCAGAGACAGTGCATCTCGGCCTCTGATTGGCCAGTTGAGCCGCCTCGACGTAGCAAAGAAGCCGAACAACCGACCCTTTCTGCAGTACAACAGTCGGGGCTAAATATTATAAAACCATCTATCAAAATACAGTTTTCGGAGCCAAAATGTCGTTCAATGCAACAAATTAAGTCAGCGGGAACGACTTGTGACCTTGTCAATCATTCCGACTCGAGAAAATCCCACAGTAGTTAAGCAGGAAATAGAACAAAGAGCGTAAACAAGCACAGCGCATGGACACAGAGCCCTGTCACAACACAATAACAAAGACATAAAAACAGATATTAAGTTAAAACTCACCACGTCTTCGTATGTTCTCGGGTGCTCGTTTCCCAGCCAGTCCAATCTACCGGGTAATAGCTGTCGAAAACAGAGTTTGTTAAAGCGACCACGAACACCAGCAGCTACACATTACGATAGTACAAAAAGAGCCGGTGATCAAAGTCATGGAGGTATTAAAAAAAAAAAGTGGGACAAGTTTGAGGTCCAGAATCAGTCAGAAGCAGAGGTGGGAAAAGTACACAGATCTTGTACTGAGTAGCAGCACCACAGTATTAAGTAAAAGTCCTGAATTCAAAATGGTATTCAAGTAAAAGTAGAAAGGTATTGGCATTCAAATATAAGTACTAATTATGCAGATTGACCCATTTTCAGAATAATATAGTTCATGTGTGTTGATTATAATTATTAATGCATTATAGGTCTATCAAAGCTGCTAAAGGTGCAGCTAGTTTGAATTATTTTGTATACTGCAGGGTAGCTTGTGTAGGTGTAACTAAAGTCTTATTTAAGTGTTGATTATATTTCACATAATGAATCCAAATGTGCAAAGTAACTAAAGGTTTAAGTAAATGTACACCATTTACCTCTGAAGTGTAATGGGGTAGAAGTACAAAGCAGCAAAAAATGTAAATACTCAAGTACAAGTACCTCAAAATTGTATTTAAACACAGTACTTGAATAAATATACTTAGTTAATTTAAACCACTGTTCAGCACCGACAGACAGCAGCTAGCAGATAACAAGCAGCCTCTGCAGCAGGGACATACACACCTGATGTTCCTCCAGTTCACTCGCCAGGACCTGCAAGGGATCAAAACACACATTAGATTGCCTCTATTACAAAACTAGCTAAGGCAACTATTTTGGAAATACTACACACACTGTTCTAGTCAAAGCACAGCAGCTCACCTCAGCTGCTCTCCGACATGGACCCGTTGTTAGGAAACGAGAAATCAGGTAATAGAGCTCTGAAATGAAACAGATTAGAGCAAATAAATGATATCAATTAGCAGGAGCGTTCACGTTGTAAATTAAGCTATCATTGGGTTTACTTTTTGCAGCTTACCCGACTCAAGGAGCAAAATGTTCCGATGTTTGGCCATTGTGATTCGGCCGCGATTTGGAGAGGTGAAACAAATGTTAAGGCTAACTTTAGGACTACACAGACGAGGATATATTTATTTAATTTCGGTTACACAGCTCTGACCCCCCTCCACGGTTGCTCCCGCTTTCTATTCAGCCTGTTTGCAGTCGCCATTGGAAGGATGAGGGCCCCAGCGCGATACGACTTACTTCCGCCACAGCGGAGTAACACCAAGCCGCCAGGAAGTGAGCCGGCCGTTGAAGCCGAGTTTTGGAACGCTCGTAGTGGTCAAACGGTGGCACTACAGCTCCAGTGACGTAATTTAGGCCCATAAAGACTTTTCCGCATTGACTTACATTGGAAAAGAGACGTCAGTAAATCCGCACATAATTTTTTTTTAGATATATAATCTACCCAGTACGAACACCTGTATGGCCCTTATTTAAATCATTAGGTTGTAAAAGTTGTAAAAAGAGCTGAAAGCTGAAGCCACCACCAATCTCCCCACCATTCATTTGGCCGAGCCGAGAGCGGCAGATCGGAGGCGGGGCTTAATGGGAACTCAAGTGCGCATGCTCAGTGGGGATGATCCGGGTACTTTCTGAATCTACAGTCGCTCTATTCTGGGCTTCAAGCGCCACTGAGCGGCTCTCGTATGAATGAACGGATCTCCGCTTCCGGCGCTGTATCCAGTTCTCTTTATACATCCATGAGTAACACAGGAAAAAGGGGGTTGGGAAGCGAAGAACACATTCTGCAAAAGACTAAAGTGTGCGTTAGCTCGTCCGTTAGCAACATCGGTACTATTTTATGTGACTCACGTATTGTCTCGAAATCCAAATCCACTTGTTAAAAAAACTAACATAATAAGAAATAACAACAAATATATTACAAACGGCCGCCCACGAGTTTTTTCTCACCGAGCTCGTGAGTTCTGCACATGACGTCATAGTAACGGTTGCCACTTTGCTCTTGATGATTATATATATATATGCTTTATTATTTTTGTAAAATATTTAAACCAGCTCTTTTTTTATTGTAAAAAAATATATATCTCAAAACGTCATGTTTGGGGGAGATACTACACGTGAATAAGTACAAATGTATTGTAGTACAAGTCTGAAATACTGTATTATGTATACAATCACAAATGTCTTCTTTAAGAAATGATAAGTAGCTTACACTACCGGGATAGAAATCTGAATATTACTTTAAGCCAGGTATAACGATGTTAATATTTTCATCCAAAATTCTTATATTTTGTTTTATTTTGTTGACTTGTTAGAGTCAAGTGTTTTTTTTTGTTTTTTTACCTAGGTTAATTTTATATCTCTTGGTATCCCTCCATAAATCCGCACTAATGTCAACTGTTGTAGACCGTATGATCAAAAGCCGTAACAAAAACAAGTTTTCCCCCATGTTCCTAGGAATAAAAGTTGTATATGCTAAACCTGGCTATGAATGATGTATAATGAAACTCCTTTGTAAAGACCTTTTGAAATCAGGAATATAATTTATTAATAGTGAATAATTAAAAATATAAATAGTGAATACAAACTTGTATGTTTGGTGTAACGCTACTGAAGTGGAGATCTCTGGTACAGAGAACAAAATAATTAAAAGAGGAATTATGGTATAATTCCATAGGCTACTATTAATCTATATATCTACTTAGTCTGCTACTTACATTAAGACTTTTCTTTTTTTAAGTTGTATGAAATGTTATGTTTAAATATATAAATGAGGCACCATGTTCTGACTTTTGGGGAATTTAGTGGACGCAAATGTATAAAGAGTAGCTATTAAAACCAACACCCTAATGTGTATTTTGGATCTTTTAGCTTCACAAGTATTAAATAACGCATGATATAAAAATGAAATACGCAAAATTCTGAAAAGGAATCTTAATAAACAATACCAAGTACAGGTAGTCATATATCATATTGTACCGTACGTAGTTGTTTTGGTATCTATATTTTATGTAGATGTCTCTACATCTTAATGTTATGAATTATTTTTTTTTAAATAAGTTTTCTATAATAGTTTTATTTTATGGTCCTTTACTTACAACTATCTTCTTCAACTGTGTTTATGTATGCACCATGAACACCAAGGCAAATTCCTCATATGTGTGAATTTACTTATGTGTGGTATTGCTATTTTTACGTCAAAAATACTTCTTCCATCTATGGTTCTCTGTATGTTTTATCTTTGTAATCATATATCATGTATTAGATATCCTGAAGGATATGACATCAATTCCCAAGCTAGGTCAACATGGCAAAGAGCCCTATTGCCCCGAAGGCTCTAGATTCACCTCGTGCCATGTTGCCCTTGGGTAATTTGATTACATGCACATTTGTTTGGGAATTTGCCCCATAAACTTAAGGAAAATACTGACTGGTTTACTGCATTAACTCATGATCCTTTTTAGAGAGGGGACCTGTGTCACTGACTCTTGTTAAGTCAAGTCAATTTTAAAGGGGCCCTATTAAGCTCTTTGTGGTTATCCTTTTCATGTGTGTTCTATAGGTTTTGATGCATGTAAATGGTCCACAAAGGCTAAAATCCCAATGTTCCCTCCAGAATAAATTAGCTCTTGATTGATGAGATGAGACAATCCTTGGTTTTCTGCTGAATTGTCTAGTCTCCTTCATGAGAGAAACAAGGCCTGGGCAAAGGCTAGGAAATCAGGCTCAGAGGTAGAATGGCTGCGTTTTAGGCAGCTAAGAAATAGCTTCACTTCACATGTCAAAAGTGCTAAGTCGAAGTACTATTTGTCAGTTACCACAGAAAGCCTAAATAATCCTAGGAAATTTTGGAAAGCCATAAAATCGATATCCACCG